GTTTGATCAGAGCCCGCGCGGCGCTTTTTACCGGTGAGCCCTGTTGCCCCCTCCACCAGCGTAGTAAGGGCCGTCGTGAGACCCGGAGCTTGCCCTTCAGGAGCCTTCTCCTTGTCCCTCTTTGCCCTTCTCTTCTGGGCCCCGCTACGGTTCCTCTTATGAGGTGCCCGCGCATCACCCGCATCACTCCCGTTTCTTTCAGAGCCCGAAGGAGCCCGTTCCAAAACAGGAGCCATTTCTACCTCTGCTGCGACCACCTCGCTTACCGAGCCCTTGCAGGCCTGTACTTGCGGCGCGATCGCAGCAGTTCCCGCCGAGTGCCCTCGGTTACCTCTTGTAAGTTTAAATTTTTTAAATCATCCATGCAAATCCCACGAGTAGCTAGGGAACGACTATGTCCATCCACGCAGAGCCCCGCATGCGTGGGTAAGGCTAGATACTCTGGGGTTTCGCCCAGTGACCCAGAGGCATCGATCACGACACTGCTCCCCCAGTGCCACGTAGTCTTCACCTCGATGGCTTCCAGCTTGGCTTGGGGAGCTGGTCCACGGCAACGGTCTTCCCGAACCCACGCAGGGCTTTACACCTGGAGGTCCGTTTATAACCGTCACTACCCGGAGGTACCTCCAGTCACACACGGGGTTTTACACCCGGGAGACCGGACACCCCTCCGGGCGTCCTCCTATCCGCCACCTGGAGATGCGCCCGATAGGTAGCCCAACCCACGGGTACTCCCTGCTTTAGGGGCGCCCGACTCTCACCTTCGACTCTCACTCTCTCCTACCCCCTGCTTTAGGGGCGCCTACATTATATTGCAGAATTTTTATTCAAAAGAGCGCATAATTAGTGATCAAATTCATGATTTTTTCGATATTATGAGTGCTTTGTATCCATTACATGATAATTAAATTTATTTGCAAATATGTTGATTACATTTTATTACTATTTCTTGTTGAAGAGAGGGGCTGGAAGTCGAATGTGAGAGTCGGGCGTTCCTGAAGCAGGGGGGACAGAGGTGAGAGTCGGGCACCCCTGAAGCAGAGGGAGGGGGGTGAGAGTCGAAGGTGAGAATCGTGTGCCCCTGAAGTAGGAGGAGTTAGAGTCGGAGGTGAGAGTCGTAAGCCCCTATAGTAAAAAGAAGTTATTTCGTAAACTTCTTTTGTTTATAACTTCTTAATGAGTAACGTCCTGCAATTAAAACTTCCTCAGGGTCACTCGGGGTCATGACCTTGACAACATATGTCAAGGTCAAGGTCATTGAGGGGGGGGCTCGCCTAATCTACATTTTTACCATTGGAAATGTTACAGTTGCGATCTTGCAATTTAATTTATTTATTTCTTTGATTAATCCGTACATTGAAAAAGTGTATATATTTTGAGAATCCTAAGCGTAAAAGATCATGGGTAACTCCAGGCGAACCATCGACATCGACTGCAAGGCCAAATCGCTATGGACGGAAGACAATACTCTGTGTTTGGTGGGATCAGAAAGGTGTGATCTACTATGAGCTGCTAAAACCTGGCAAAACCGTTAATACTGAACGCTACCGACAATAAATGATCAATTTGAATCAAGCTTTGCGTGAAAAACGACCGGAATATCAAAAAAGGCAACATAAAGTGATTTTGCTTCATGATAATGCACCATCACACACAGCAAAACTGGTCAAGGAAACGATTGGAGCGTTTGGTTGGGAAATACTTTCGCATGCTTACTCGGGTGGCACCCAGTTAGACACGGCTCAATTGGACACGAGCCACTCACAGCGCTTGAGACTACAAAGCTCCTAAGCACCGGTCGCTGTGATTGGTTGTGTCCAATCGAGACGTTGTCAATCGGGATCATCCCGCTTACTCACCAGACTTGGCTCCGTCCGATTACTACTTATTTGCATCGATGGGACACGCACTTGCTCAGCAGCGCTTCACTTCTTACGAAGATGTACGAAAATGGCTTGATGAATGGTTTGGCTCATAAGAGCAATAATTTTTTTGGCGTGGCATCCACAAATTGCCAGACAGGTGGGAAAAATCTATAGCTAGCGATGGGCAATACTTCGAATAAAATATTTTTTATCATTTTCATGCAATAAACGTGTACTTTCTATTAAAAAATTCCGGTTTCATATTTACATAGCTGGTAAAGTCTCGAGCTCAAAGCTATGGTATCGGGACTCGGGTTTAGTCATCCGTCTGCTAAAGTAAAATACAGGATGTAGCTTATTATTAGTCTGCCGCTGGAGCAATACCGCACCGAATCCATGAGCGCTCCCAATGCAGTTCCGTTTGCAACTTAGGACTATAAATCGTTAACACTGGGGTATTAATTAATTTATTCTTCAGCATCTGAAAAGCGCTCCTTTCCGTTCCTCTGAACACAAAAATAGCCTCTTTCCTAAGCAAACTATACAACGGTTTAGCTATTATTGTAAACTTCTCAATAAACTTACGGAAATAAGATGCAAGTCCTATAAAACTGTGTATCTCTTTAACCGACTTCGGTTCTGGAAAAGCTTGGACGGCCTTAATGCCACTATCCGTAGGGTATATCCCTTCTTTCGTAATTTTATACCCTAAATATTCTACTTCAGTTAGCAGAAAAGAGCACTTCTCGATTCGCGATTCGAGCTTATTCTGCACCAGCGACCCCAGTACCTTTTTAATCGCCTTAAAGTGATCATCTATCGTCTTCGTTATTACTAATGTGTCGTCCATGTACACTGTTATGTGGCCTTCCGCGATGATTTCTGCCATTACCTCATTTACAAATCGTTGAAATAGCTGTGGCCAAATTTTCAAACCAAACGGCATTCTTAAGAATTCGTATTGGCCCATGTGTATCACAAATGAGATATATTTTACCGCCTCCGGAGCCTACATGGTAAAATCCGCCCTTCAAGTCCAGTTTGCTAAAAAAACACTTATCTCTTCATCTGTTCAATAGATCCTCTATTAACGGGAAAGGATAGTTATCCCGGATCATCGTCTTATTTAATGCACGGTAGTCGACACACATTCGCGTTTCACCATTTTTTTTTCGCGTTAACACTATCGGCGACGCGAACTCAGATGTGCTTGGTCGGATAATTGCCCCCTCCGTTAATGACGTTCATATCTCGCACCTCTTTATCTGCAAAACCTAATCTCGGCGGCCCAAAGCAAACTGGCTGACTGTTTTTCAAATAAATATTAGCTTCAGAGTATACTTTCGGTTCTTTCGGACGCGTCGGTGTAATATAATAATCATGAAATACCGTTTTGAACTTATCTACAGGGTGTCCCATTTTAAATAACCCAGCCAAATATCTCGAAAACTAAATCCAGTAGACAAAAATGTTTTAGACAAAAGTTGTTTGACTCGAAGGGAGACATAAGATAGTGCCATCGATTTGACCTTGGATAGTCCTCTGAAGACCACGTGAAGGTCACCTTTGATTTTTTAAATGGAACCACTTATTTCTCATTGCACATTCTTACAGCTCATCTCGAGAGCTTTCCAAAACACTATAATTAAGTTATTTTTCGTTAAGGACTAGTTAAGTTATAAAGCAAGATCGGGACTGATCCGGTCGATTAAAGCAAGATCGAGACTGATCCGACCGATTAAAGCAAGATCGGGGCTGATCCGGCCGACTAAAGCAAAATCGTGGCTGATCCGGCCGACTAAAGCAAGATCGGGGCTGATCCGGCCGACTAAAACAAGATCGGGGATTATCCGGCCGACTAAAGCAAGATCGGAGCTGATCCGGTCGATTCATATCAGAATCTAGTTTTCATGTGAAATGATTATGATCTTAATAAGTGTTCGAATATCTGTCCATTATTATCCACACATAATTGAACTCGACGTTCAAAACTGTCAATAAAAGTATATTTCTTGGAATGCTACGGCAGGCAAGAGTTATACACTCCAACATATTCTCTCTTGTTGTGGGTGTTCTTGAATATACTACGTTTTTCAAGTATTCCCATAAAAAGAAATCTAGACTTGATAAGTCTGGAGATCTAGGACACCATGACACTGGTCCACCGCGTCCTATCCATCTACCTGGGAATGTGAGATCTAAATGGTTTCTAACTCTTCTACTCCAGTGCGCAGGCGCACCATCCTGTTGAAAGAACATACGTTGTCTTGTATCCAGTTCGATATCTTCAAGCAACGCCGGCAATCTTTGTTGTAGAAAGTGTAAATAATTATTACCATTAATATTTTCGTCAAAGAAATAAGGTATTTGTTTAATATGCCGATAAGGTATCTGTTTAATATGCCACACCATACAATGAGGCTTCAGCGATGTTGATGATTAACTTCTCTGTACCAACGTGAGTTTTCAACAGACCAATAACGAGAATTATGTCGATTTAATTGTCCAGTGTTGTGAAAAGTTGCTTCGTCACTAAATAAAACAAATCTGTAAAATGTTCGATCACGATTTAACATTATTTGTGCCCACCTACAAAATTCTAGTCTTTGTTGAAAATCATTGAGTGTTAATTGTTGCGTCAAAGTGATATGGTAAGGAGGAAAGTTATGAGTGGTCAAGATTCTGTGACTTGTTGATTTCGGAATATCTAATTCTCTTTCGATTTGCCTCGTTGACACGCGTGAATTAATAGCTATCATTCCCAATACGGCAAGTACTGTTGAATCATCCCTTTCTGGTATGTTAATATGACGTCTTTGTCGTTTTTGACGTTGACGTTGTCGTTGACGCAATACAAGTCTGGAAATCGTACAATGATTTGGATGTCGTCTAAGAGGAAATCGATTAAGGTACAATATCGCTGCTTGTCGATAATTATTATGGCATTCTCCGAGTACCAGAACAATATCAATAATTTCGTTCAAAGTATAATCCGGCATTTTGCGTACATTAAGTTACAAGATAAAGTGAGAGCCGATAGATTTATTATCCTGCTTGATATTGAACGACTAAGGCAAATTTACGCATTTATGGATCATTCTTTGCCATCAGCCATTATGGATCAATCCCGGTTGGATAGACCGATTAAGATAAAAAATGCGTGAGTATAAAGTTCAGCGCTCGGAATCAGTTGCCCTTTTCGGTCGGATTTCTGAGGAGACGCCTACTGTCCCCCCACTACCGCTCCAGACTCTACGCCTGAGCCGCCGATCGTGCGCGTAACGCTGAGCCTCAGGAGCATCCGTGACAAATACATTAGGCCCGTATCTTCCATGAAATTTTTAATTATTTAGCAAAACCTTTTTTGCTAA